AGTTCCCTAATTTACAGGATCCAGTGCAACCGAGAAGCACGTCCCACCAGACCAAATATATGAAGTTGAAGACACCGAGCGAGCGCCTTAAACCGAGTGCGGGACTGTTCGGAGGGTGCGGCTCTGTGTCCCCGCAGTTTGCACGATTACAGATTAGGTCCCGCGGGGGGGGCAAGGGAGAGCTCCCCATTTTATTGGAACATACAGCCCTGTCCCGTCACCCCTCTAACACACACCATTTCGCGGCCCCTGAAGGCTGAGGTGCAGGTGTGAGCAAAAATAGTGGGAGTGCAGAGAGGCAAAGGGTGAGCGAGAGACGGACAGAGAGACAGAGAGGGAGGGAGACAGGTAGAGAGAAGGGTGGAGGGAAGACGGGGACGGGAGGGAGACAGAGGAGCAGAAGTATTGGGGGTGGGGAAAGAGGCAGAGAGACAGGCAGGAGACAGACAGAGGCAGAGACAGACAGACACAGACAGAGACAGAGACAGACAGAGACAGAGGCAGAGACAGAGACAGACAGAGACAGAGGCAGAGACAGAGACAGACAGAGACAGAGACAGAGACAGAGACAGAGACAGAGACAGAGACAGAGAGATCCCAGCACAGACAGGACGCACAGGAGAACCAGAAAAGGAAAAACGGAGCCGAAATAGAGATGAGGAAAGATGATTCTCCGACGCAGAGGAGGTCACAGAGGTTAGGAAGGCAGAACAAAAGGGGCTCCTCCTTTCTTCNCATTGATCCTCTCTGCCCCTAATTTTAATTTTTTAGTAGAATATTGTTGAGGTTTGAATGTGACTTTGAAAAAAATGGTCAAGTCAAATATGGCTGTAAGTCATGAATGTCTTTATTTCTGTGAAGTTCCTGTTCAGGGCACAGGGACCGAGAGAGGGGCGTTTGGAGATTAGGAATTCTTTCTCATGGTTTCATATATCCACTTGCTGTACCTGCAGACACGGGTGTAGATGACCGGGCCGAAGGGTGGTCGACAAGGAAAATAATTGGAGGACACCAGGCCTTGCAAGGAACCCTGGCACATCAGGGGGCTCCCTAAGTCACCCTGGGGGGGAAACAGCAGATTAGCTTGGGGTTCAGAGCCGCTAGCGCTGAGGTCTCCGGCGGCCCGCGGTGATCACGTCTGGGTCCAGCCCTGTCCAATGGGAAGAGACGCATCGTCTCTGTGGACCAATGGGAGAGCAGGAACGAACGCTCTCAGGCCCGGACAAACCAGGTTCCTGAAGACATTGGCTGGAGCCCCGGCCAATCACAGGGAGGGGGCGGAGCTTTCAGGAAGTCAGAGCCTCGCTTTTCCCCAGCGACTGGGAGAGGGAGCCTCGGCTCCAGGGAACCTGATGCCTTCTCGTACC